GAAAAACTTGCCCAGGGTCACATAGCTATTAAGTATCTGAGGTCAGATTTGAACTCAGGAAGATTAATTTTCCTGACTCCAGAGCTCTCTATCCACTGGGAACCTAGCTGCCTCAGAGTTGCAAGAGTATGGATTGTTAAAGAATGTGAATTCAAATGTTGCCTTTGTCACTAACTGCCTATATGGCATACCGAAAACTAGACCACAGTCTTTCTTCTAAGATCACCTTAATGCAGCAGTCCTGAGTTAATTGGCTTAGGAGTATCTATGAACATGTATTGAGTAAGTCATCTAATCTTTCTAGGACTCAGTTTCCTCATCTGTAAAATGAGATGGTTGGCCTAAAAATCCCTTCCTGTTCTATAGCTGTGATCCTATGAAATTAGATCAACACATACAGTGACTTCAATGCAATTATAGGTGAAGATACTCAGGAACAAATTGCAGATATGATACAAAAATACATAATGAATGAGAACGAAGACTTGCAAGCTATCCAGAAAACTCATACCTTTATATCATGAATACTTTGCTTGAGAAAAGAATCAGTACATGCTAGACACAGCAAATCCCACAAAAATAACATCACAAAAATGAAATTTCTTTTCATTGAAAAAAAATGGCTTATTACTGATGTGGAAGTCATTCCCAAAACAGCTGTCCATGTCAGATTACTGACTTGTCAGAGCAAGTCAAATATAGCCCCAAGCTAGATGAAAGAATACAAATGAAAGAAAGATATGACATGCAAATGAAGCAACTTAATCTTGACCTTTTCAAACAATTTATTGAGAATGAGAAATTGGTTATGGACAGTAGAAAAGAAGTGGACATAGACTAGACTAATTTCATCCAGAACTTTAACCAACTAAAGTCAATTTATCATAACAAGGCAAGCAATGCCTTGGGAAGAGGGAAGACAAATATATAAATAAATATAATACAACAAAAATAGAAGAAAGTAGGAATTCTAATAACTGGGAGGATCAGAGAAGCCTTCCTATAGGAGGCAGTACCAGAGAAAATCCTTTCAGGAAGAAAATTATTCTGAAATGTCAAAATGGAGTATATTCCAAGCATAGGAGATAGCTTGTTCAAATGCATATAAATGGGGAATGGAGTGTAAAATTTGGGGAATGACTTGATTTAGCTTGTATAGAATTTGTGAAGGGAGTTATATGAAATAAAATTAGAAGTAGTTCAATCTGTGCCTTCATATGAATCTTTGATTAAAGTGTAGACCAGCATAGGACCAAGCACAAATCCCTGGGGCACACGACCACAGATTTTCTTTCAAGATCACCTTAATGTAGCAGTCCTTAATTACCTGGTTAAGGAGCATACATTTTATCATTTAGATAATGGAGAGTCACTGGAAGTTTTTGAGCATAGGAACTATATAGAGAGACCTTTTCATTAGGCAGGTTATTTTGACAGCTATATGGAAGATAGATTGATGAAATAGTAATTTATTCATTTGAGATCTCCAGGCAAAAGCTAGATATCCACTCATTGTCTGTGTTGTAGTGGAAATTTTTTAAAATATAAATGACACTTCATGGGATCACTTCAAACTCTCAACACTTGGGATGTTTGTGATTGTGAATGTGACACATCTCAGGGTGATGGTGAGATCTAAGACATGACCATTCCTGTTGAAAGTTGAAATAGAGTGAAACTGTGGGTCATGAAAATTTAGAAGATTGATGGACTGGGAATCTGGGCACAAGAAGTTGGTAAGAATTTGATAAATCATGTACAAAAGAAAGTTGTATTACTGATATTATATATATATATATATATATATATATATATATATATAGCGTTTAGCACAGTGATTGGCACAAAGTACCTAATAGATGCTTATCTTCCTTACTTTTGAGCAAGGCACAGAAGAAAGGGAGGGTAGAAGAGGGCAAATGGCTGTACTTTGTTAGTATTGAGATGAATGGAGATAGAAGTACATTGAGAGCTATCATGTGCAGGGGACATTTAACCTAAAAGATATTTCTCTACTCTGAATCACTAGGATTTGGAAAGCAGGATACACAAACTTTTGTCATAAGTTTTGATTAATTGATATTTCTACTTTTCAGTGTCCTATGATGATGGAGAATGGCATTAGTGTAGTGTTGCCTCTACAACAAAAGGTGATGATGATGAGGAATTCAGGCTGAAGGTCTAGATTCTTAGGCACTTAACTGAACTCATATGAGGTACTATCTCAGTAACTGCACCCAAAGATAACAGAGAATGAGTTAAATTCATGTTGTATCCAACACACAAAGCATACACTTGACTGTGTCAGGCCTGATATCTGAAGGGACAGTCTTTTGAGCATCCCCTTTTTGGCAAGTGAGAACAGAGGCACAATTAGGAAATCCCATTTTTACTGGGATCAGTCTTTCTAATTCAGATGTACAAAAGTGCTTCCAAGTGAGGAGGTACTTTTTTTTGGTTGGTGCTTTTCTTGTAGTTGTCTTCATGCAAGTGGCTGTTCCTGGTCTGGTATCATAAAATTAATTTATTAATAGCGAGAATCAGGATGTTTGTTTAACTACATCAAGAAGAGGGAAGGGTTGGAATGATAAGACAGATGTCTTCTCTGTCTCTCCCCTTTCTTAAGGACTAATGTTGAAGGGGGCTGTGAAGGAGTAAAGAGTTCCATGAGAGAAAGGGAAGAGTGAGGAGAGGTCCCATCTCTCAGGCTAAAAGCCTCCCCTCAATCATATCTGATTATTGATATGATACAATTTCATTTAAAAACACTGACTGGTATAATCCAACAAGTCAATAAACATTCATTAACCACCTATTACAGCAAGTCATTATACTAGGTGTTAAGGATTAGAACATGAAAAAATGGCAGAGTTCCTGCCCTCAAAGAGTTTAGAGTCTAATGGGGGAGTAGAGCAGCACACAAAAATATCTGCTATGAAGGTTCAACTTCCATCTTTTGGTGGGTCATTTCCTGACTAATCTTCATCCTTTTGATGGAAGAAGAGTAGTGAAACAGGGATTCCCATCCCATCTTGTGACCAGGTGCTTTGCACTTATTTCCAGCCTGATCCCCAGCTTCGTCTGAGAAAGAGTGATGCCTTACTCTCAGTGATGAACATTTTTACACCTCATCAGACACTGCTGAGATGTCAAACACATGGATGTTGGGCCACGTGCAGCCCATAACACTCCAAAGCACAGATCAAACCAAATTTAAGTACTTCCTATCTGACTTTAATGTGTTTATGTATTAATTGTGTGTATAAAGCTGTGTGGTTTTCTAAGTCAGTATATACCCCACAGAGATCTTTATGTAGGGTTAAGTGGTCCTCGTTTTTAGTATATTTGATACCACTACTCTATTCATCCCAGTGATTCTGAAACTCTATAAGACATCACTGAAACCCCATTCCCTATCATCTACCACCCTATTCCTTATTCCCATCCCCATTAATTCTCTCACGCCAAAGTTCCAATCAAATGCCATCCACCCCCTCCACTGTGTCCTCTGGAATGTGTGTTCCACAGGCAACAAACTTCCCTTCATCCTAAATCTCTTCCTCTACCACTCCTTTCATCTTCTAGCTATCCCTGAAATCTGACCCTCCATGATGGCAAAGCCTCCTGAGCCACTGTTTCTAGTACTGGCTGCACCTTCACTCATTCCCCTCTGCTCAGGTTGAGGTGAGGGTATTGGAATACTCCTTGCTTTATTTACTCCACCATATTAAAAAGTAGCTAGCCCCAGAGGCATATGAGATAAATGGCTAAAATACACCTGTACTGGTACATTGCCATCTGGTGGTTTTCAAATATTGCAACATGTATTCATTAAAGCTAAAATTTTTTAAACCTATGAAAAATCATATTTCAGACAGTACTCCAAGTAAATAGTACACCAACAATATTTATTTCACACATGTACTTATCAAATGTGTAGTGTGCCTCAATGATATAAATTCCAGGTATTGCTATTATACCTTATCAATAGAATGCTCTACTAGGAGTCAGAAAGATGAGTTCAAATCCAAGCCCCTTAGAAACTTACTAGCTGTATGACTGGGCAAAGTCACTTCACTGCTATCTGCCCTTTTTCTTCCTCAATAAAATGGAGGTACCTCCAGGGTTGTTGTAAAGATCACATGAGATAATATTTGTAATATACTTTGCAAGCCTTAAAGCACTATATAAATGATGGTTTTTGTTGTTATTATTGCTATGATTATTGTTATCATCCATAGCATCAAACATAGGTTATTTAATTAATTGTTCATCTATTAGGACTCTAGCTATGGTTTGCTGGGAGGGATGGCACACTGAATATATAGGTTTCAGTTGATAAAGGGATGACCAGGAAAAATATAGAATGTTCAATTATCTTAGAGAACAGGCAAACATCAGACATTAAAATGAACAATTGGGGAAACTAAGACAATAGAAATACTTTAGGGACATAGATACAGGAGCCAAAGGAGATGAGGTTGCACAGAAATGGGATGTAGAAAGGCACAAATGATTGGCTGCTCCTATTTTTTTCCCCAAGGTCAACTCTGTGACTTTACAGCTATATTACTTGGGGCCAAGTGCAATTCCTGGCTTTTATAGATATGGACAGCAAATTAATTTGTAAATCACTGAGAATGAATTTGAGATTACCAGACATCTGCCCTCACTTCTGTTATCCTATCAACATGAGTAAGAAGAGACTAAAGGTCTCTAAAGTGCCTTATTATTAGTACTTACCATTGCTTCTCATGATTCACACATTGATTGTTTTGTCCTTACGTATCTATAAAAAGAGACTTTTTAATACTATAATTTTTCAAAAGATGATGAGTACATCTGTGATGAATGAGAGTATCACACAGCTGGCTCTTTAGGGATTTTGTATTGAGTTATCTTTATTTTAATTTTTTGCTGGCTTTTGTTTTTGGTGGTTTCCTGGAAATTACTATGCTTTCCTTATCAGCTATCTCCTTCCATATTTCTTCTGTTCTTAGAAGGTAAACAGTTTATTTGAGTGTCTGGAGAGCAGAGTAGGAGGTGGCGAATGAGACAAATGCTCACCTTGGACTGGGCGAAATAAGAAGATAAGACAGCAGTTCATCAGGTACAAAAAAGACTAAGAAGAAGTTGAGATTAAAAAAATATGAACTGGGAAAGAGAAGGTATGATATTTTCTAACGTTCCCACCCTATTTCTCAAGTCTATGGCAAAAGTGAGATAAGAGAAGTAGCAGCCTCAGCATTTCCCTCTCAAACATTAATAGAAGGAAAAAAGTGTTTATTAAGCCCGTACTGTATGCCAGACACTATGCTAAGTGCTTTGCAAATACTATATAACATTTAACTCTCACAACAACCCTGGAGGATCAGTGCTATTATTATTTGCATTTTACAGTTGAGGAAATTGAGGTAGACAGAGGCTAAGCAACTTCTGAGGGTCACACATCTTGTAAGCATCTGAAGCTGGATTCGAATGTTTATTAATTTAAAAAAAGCAGATTATAGCACAGTATTATTACAATTTGGTTGGATTCCAACTTCTGATAAATAGTTAGAAATCCCATTCCAATATTTCTACAATCTGTTGATGTCATAGGTAGGCTAAGGAAATCAGTTTTACTACTTAGCTAGCTTTCCATTGCCAAAACATTTAATTGAATTATTTGCCCTGATAATTCAGGCACAGTTTAATTTTTATTTGAATTATCTCAGAAAGGAAATTTCTTAGGTTGGTGGAGTGCTGGGACTGGAGTCAGGAAGTTTTATCTTCCTGAGTTCAAATCTGGCCTCAGACATTTACTAGCTATGTGACCCTGGGTAAGTTACTTAACCGTATTTGCCTCAGTTTCCTCATCTGTAAAATGAGTTGGAGAAGGCAATGGCAAAGTACTCCAGTATCCTTGCCAAGAAAACCTAAATGGGACCACAAAGAGTCAGACATGACTGAAGAACAACTGAACCACAAAATATCTCATTTCTCTTTTCTTTAATGAGATCTATGTTGGATATCTTCAGATTTTGAAAGTAACTTGGGATGTGTGAGCCTCAGAAAAATGTGAGCTAGAAGAACCTGACTTGGGAAGTAAGAGAAAACATACAGAAGGTATAGGACTTGCAAAAGAATCATATCCTGGTCAGGGCTGGCCTGCTTGTTAATCAGAGAATTAATGTTCAACCAAAATAAACCTCTAATGAAATGCTGCAGGGCATTATCCCAGGCCCTCTTTGTCCAACAGTTTTCTTGTTGACTTAAATGAGACACACTGTATAAAGCATACTTATCAAATCCATGTATGTTAGAAACGTGGAATAGTTGATATGTTGGATGACAGAATTAGGATCATACTGGTTGAAACCAAGGTAAAATCTAGGTTTGGGTAATACAGTTTTTGAACTTCAGCCAAAATTCATTATTTAAGTCCAGAATAGGGGATATAATGGCTAGAAAGGAACTGGAGGAGGGAGGAGCTGTGGGCATTTTTTGTTTTTGATTTTGTTTTTTGTCTGTAAATTCAAATTCATTACCCTCATACATTGGAATTCCCCCCCTAGTGGTGAACATGGGTAGACGCTCAGAACCATGTAACTTGCTTGAGATTGAAAAGAGATGTTAGAAATTCCATAGGACTGAAGATGAAGTTTATTATCCACCTTCTCTCTCTCTCTGTCTCTCCTTCAATAAAGGAGAAGAATGAGAGTGAGAGAAAATAAATGCTTATCAATTGATTTGAAAGTAATAAGATTAAATGTTTAAAAAGAAAAAAATGAAAAGAAATGCTAGCTTGTAACCAGTTTACATTACTGGCACTTTGTCCTGCTTAAGAGCTATTTTGGATTTTTTTTCATTTTCTCTCTTTCTCTTCTACAACCTAAATTTATCACCTCTCTGTAACGGATGATATGTTTCCATCATCATTGCTTTGTAATCATGAATGACCATTATATTTATCATAACTTGTATAGCTTTCAAAGTTGTTTGTTTTACATAGTTGTCATTGTAGAATTTTTTTCCTCCTAGTTCTGCTCAATTCATTCCTTTCTTTATTAAAGTCCTCCAACTACAATTTTTATAAAATTGATTTTGTAGTATAAATTATTTTTCTGATTCTGCTTATTTCATTCTTCAGATGTTCACCTAAATCTTCCTATTTTTGAAGTCAAGTTTTTCCTCATTTCTTACAGCACAATAATATAACTCCATCTCATTCACATTGTCATTGTCATTCAGTCCATTTTTCAGTCATGTCCAACTCTTCATGACCTCACTGGGGGGTTTTCTTAGCAAAGAATAATTTTTGCCATTCCTTTCTCCAGCTCATTTTACAGCTAAGGAAGCTACGGCAAAAATATTTAAGTGACTTGCCCAGGGTCAAATAGTCACTCAGTGTCTGAGTCCATATTTGAACACAGGAAGATTAGTCTTCCTGACTTTAGGCCTGTACTATACCACACTTATTCAACCATTCTTTGATTGTCGGACATCCATCTCAGTATTTTTTTTTTGCTACCACAAAAAAGAATTGCTACAAATATTTTTGTTCAAAAATGACTTTTCTAGTGTATTTTTTGGCTACAGGCCTACCAGAGGTTTAAAAGGCACATACAGTTTGTTTGTGGGTTTTTTGTTTGTTTGTTTGTTTCATTTTTTCTTTGTTTCATTTGTTGTTGGTGGTGGTGTTTTGCTAGGCAATGGGGTTAAGTGACTTGCCCAGGGTCACATAGCTAGTAAGTGTCCAGGGTCTGAGGACAGATTTGAACTCAGTCCCACCTGACTCCAGTGCTGTATTCTATCTACTGCACCACCTACCTGCCCCTGCATGTACTGTTTGATAACTTTGTATACATAATTCCAAAAGACTTTCCAGGAGGGTTGTAGTTATTCATATGACAGCCAGCAGTGTATCAGTGTGCCTGTTTTATATAGCCCCTCCAACATTTATCATTTTTGTTTTTGTCATCTTTGCTATTTTATTAGAAAAAAACATTTCCATCTGGGAATGAAGCCATAACACCATCAGCTGGCTACTTAAAATGTACTTGCCTGCTAGCGACGTGAATACTTTCAGGTTCTGGACAGAGATTCTGTTTTATCCAGCTTGAAATTGTATCCAGTCTCTGGATACCGACAAATATGAGTCCAAAAGTATGTTGTTTCTGCCAAGAAAATTGAAGTGAAGTTCTATAAATTCAAAGTTAAGATGTAAAGTCTCATGTGTTGAGGATTAGTGTTCTGGGGTAGGGCTCACACTCAGAGATGGTCTTGTGTTAGTTTTCATCCCATGTTGTAATAAAATGAGATACTAAGAGTTCATTTAATAGTTAACAAAAGGAGAATTACTTAGTCCTAACAGAAGAAGGCTTTTTAGAGTTCAGCTTGAGCTGCACAGGTATAGACAGGGCCCCAAAAAACCTGGAGCAGGCTTCAGGTGACTGAATCATTGGCAGCTGTGGCAGTTTCCAGACTTCTCAATCCACAAATTCCAAAGACAATTTAGAAGGTCAGTAGGAAAGGTTGTTTGACCTGGGTGAGAGAGGAGTGTGCCCAAGCCCTGTTACAGCTCCAGGGTGGAGACAGTGGCTACTTCTGGAGCTCTCAGTCTATAGAAGGTGGAGGGATTGAGTGGCTAATAACAGGGGGATTGCAGGGATCTTTTGGCTTGCAATGAGGCAATCTTCTCTTGCTTTGCCCATGTGTGGATCTTGGTCACAATCCTGGTCCTGGGGAGAGGAGGAAGACTGGTGTAGTGGAGGTTGTGTAATGGTGTAGAGAGAATCCTCCTTACAATTCCAAGGCAGAAAAAAGTGATTGTGTTCACTCATAGACCAGAGAACAGACCAAGAAAGGAATAAACACCTCTCCTTAGATCACACTATCTTGGAAGAACTGAAAATTTGTAGATCTCTAAAAGTATCTCTGAAAACAGCGGCACAAAACCCCTGAAGCTTGGGACAGTACACCCTCCACACTGGAAGCAGAGCCCTGCCTTAACAAAGAGTTACAAAGTCAAGTAATTGACTGGGAACATGAGAAAACAGCAGAAAAAACTCAGACTATAGAATTTTACTTTGGTAACAAGGAAGATCAAAACATTCAACCAGAAGAAGACAACAAAGTCAGAGCTCCTACATCCAAAGCTTCCAAGAAAAATATGAATTGGTCTCAAGTGATGGAAGAGATCGAAAAGGATTTTGAAATGCAAGTAAGAGAAGTAGAGGAAAAATTGGGAGAAGAAATAAGAGTGATGCAAGAAGATTGTGAAAAATGAGTCAACAGCTTGCTAAAGGATGCACAAAAAATACTGAGGCAAAAACACCTTAAAAATAAACTAACCCAAATGGCAAAAGAGGTCTAAAAAGCCAATGAGGAGAATGTCTTAAAAAGCAAAATGTGCAAAATGGAAAAGGAGGTCCAAAAGCTCACTGAAAAAAGTCATTCCTTAAAAATGAGAATGGAACAAATGGAAGCTAATGACTTTATGAGAAATCAAGAAATTATAAAACAAAATCAAAAGAATGAAAAAATAGAAGACAATGTGAAATATCTCATTGGAAAAACAACTGACCGAGAAAATAGATCCAGGAGAGATAATTTAAAAATTACTGTACTACCTAAAAGCCATGATCAATAAAAGAGCCTAGACCTTATCTTTCAAGAAATTATCAAGAAAAATTGCCCTGATATTCTAGAACCAGAGAGTAAAATAGAAATTGAAAGAATCCACCAATCACCTCCTGAAAGAGATCCCCCAAGGAAAACTCCTAGGAACATTATGGCCAAATTCCAGAATTCTCAGGTGAAGGAGAAAATAATGCAAGCAGACAGGAAGAAACAATTGAAGTGTTGTGGAAACACAATCAAGATAACACAACATTTAGCAGCTTCTGTATTAAAGGATAGTAGGGCTTGGAATATGATATTGCAGAGGTCAAAGGAGCTAGGATTAAAACCAAGAATCACCTACCCAGAAAAACTGAGTATAATCTTTCAGGCAAAAAAAAAAATTCAATGAAATAGAAGATTTTTAAGCATTCTTGATGAAAAGACCAGAACTGAATAGGAAATTTGACTTTCAAATACAAGATTCAAGAGAAGTGTGAA